AAAAAAAAAAAAAAAAAAGAGTCTTCATTAATATGACTTTCAATGGCTACACATCCATCCTCAAGATGCCTCTGTGTACATACCCACACCTTTATTTCTGCACATGTATCTGCAGGTGTATGTACTAAGTCAGTTTCACATTTCAGAATATGGCAAATTAAAATATACTAAACTTTTAAATTCAAACATTAGTGACCCAATTAAATTCATCCATTTAGGACCTGCTTCCTATAAAGGAGATACTGATTTCAATGTTCCCAATACACAAAGTAATCCTTCCAAAAACATTAAGCATGTTGACACACTTTTTCGAAGATGCAGACTAAATCCTCCACCCAGTCAAAGTCGTTAAAAACTCAGAGCAGGCACCAAGGGAGTCCTCTGCTAAATGGAACTTGCATTTTAAGAGTTGTTTCAACTGCCTTAAAACTAACAATGCTACTTGCCAAAAGGACCAGGCTTTTTCCCACTTTGAGCTCTTAGGAAAATTCTCTTATAATCTGGAAATTATAAAGCTCTGAAAGGAAAATTTAGAAACTACATATCCTTTTTACCCCTTTCCTCTTTGGTCAAGATAACAGGTAGTCAAGTCTCTGCTAGTCATAAAACTTCAGCTGAATACACTTCTCCCTCTTCCTCAGTAGGAATAAAGACTGAAGCAAAAAACAGCACAAGTGCCCTCTTCTGGTCAATATGATTTACATCAGCTTCTCGGAGAGGAGGATTCAGTCATTCCTCAATGGCCTTATTCATCCTCCCAACTACATTTTAAACTGCTGCTGAGCCAAATTAACATGACCCTCTTATGGAGAAACTAAGCCCTAAAGGAGATCTATGAGACAGGAAATACCCACGCAAATATTTTCTGAATGTATCTAATTTTTGCAAAAGAAAAGGTTTACAGGGATTATATTTAATACAGCAAAGGCAAAGTAATTAACAGCATTAAAAGGGCTAAGACCATTGAAAGCTGGAGATCAATATATCCAATAGAAGCTGTCATGTCAGGGCAAAGGTGTTACCTTCAATACAACTCAAGGTGAGAAATGTCAGACTGTTTTCTTTCAACATATTGGTTCATATAAAGGTATCACTTGACTCCTAAAAAACTAAACTATAAAGTATTTGCTCTCTTCTTAAAAGCAAGCTAGACAGCCTTGAGGTTCTTGGGAAGGTTACCTGGAACATGTGAAATGCCAACTTTTCGTTGTATTCCCATTGCTTCATGGCTTGCTCTACATCTGGTGGCACTGGGACAGGACCATCACTTGTGCTGGAAGCCATGTGGTAAAAGTCAGAAATCTTGGCCAGCTGCTCTCGAAGATATCTGGTAGATATTTGTGTCCACTCTGTATTAAAAAAAAAAAAAAAAAAATTTGTTTTAATTTCCAGACAAGATGGATAGAATAATTAATGTTTTCTCCCCCTTTCTGACAATCTTAAGGGTGTACATATAAAACAAACATCTATTACAAAAAAGTGGTTTTGACACAGCAAGCACTGTGCGAAGAAGTACAACCACCCCAGAGCCTTTAAGTAATGCAACGTGGCCAGACCTAGTAGGAATGTTGGCCAGCTCTTGGGTGGAAAGGACGGCTCTCCCCTTGCGCCTCTGTGACCCCGAAGCTAGGAGAAGAGTTGCCCACACTTGAGTTATGTGCATTTAGTGATGCTCCGGGAGCATAAAAGATTTTTTTGCATACAAAAAGCCACAAGCAGGAAATAGAACTGTGGAGGTGAGTACTTCAAGAAATTTCAATTCTACCGAAGAATTCAAAACCCTTCAAATGCAAGTCTTAAGGTAGATTTTTCAGGCTCCAAGTTGGATTTCTAACTTGCCTAATTAAGATCTGTTTTGTTTTCATCAGTCTGTAAGAGGAGTGGCATTCGCCGTGGGCTGGCCCTTCACAGCATTCCGACCTGCACTCTCCCCCTCCCCGCACCTGCCAGAAACACAAGCGCGGCTGCCTCTTGGACAGCCATCTGGACCTTCAATTAGTCTCCGCTCCACAACCAACACAGGATGCCTCAGAACTCAATCAGAAAGAGTAGTGAGCAACAAAAGGCAGGAGTACAGAAAGGAAATAGGAAAAGTACCATTACAAAAAAAAAAACAAAACAAAAAACAAACAAAAAAACCCCACAAATTATTCAAAAATGTCTGCCAGAGGGGCACAAATTAAATCAGTGTGTTGCCTCTGGCAACCGTGAGGGATGTGATGCCAACTTTAGCCCATTCTGTGGATAAAAATGTAATAATTGCATGCTCACAACCAAATTTCCCCAAGGATTAGTGAAACAGCATTTCAGAAGAAACCACCCTACTGAAACGTTACCACACAATGCTGTTTTCCCATTATCCAGGCAATTGGCTCTCCCGCCTTATTTTTAAAGGAACCTATCTTGACAAAAGTAGGAGCAGAAACTAAACATCTGTTGGGGACTGAGGGCTTTGTTTTTATTTTTTAAGTACTGTTAAAAGTACTTGACAATAGTCCAGAGAGAACTACTGTTAAGTTTTGGTCTAAACAACTTATTCTCATTGTGTCTTATTTAAAATTTTCAGATGCACGTGTTAAACTGTAGTAATTAAGCCAATGCAAAAAGATGAACAGCTACTAGGTCAACATTCTGTCCCTAGTGTAACAGCATTTTAGAAAGCACCACCAATAACATACTAATATTCATCTATCAGCATTAAAGACATAACAATACATTATCAGCATCATCATCTGATGCCCCCATTATGAACTAATAGTCTCATGACACTCGTTTGACAAAACAAAATGCCCACCATCAGATGAGATAAGTTTAGCTTGGCTATAATAAGCAAAAACAAAAATAACAGGGATCCAAATCCTAGCTTTTGTGTGCCAAGCCTTGCTATTAACTCTCTCAGCATGGTACCATCCTCAATACCCCCACAGAATATTTTAGCCTCAAGAGCTAAAAATAACACACATATTCACACACCACCTACTTCGTCCAGGGTATATTTTCTTTTCAAGATTGTTAAATACATAAGAAATATGTGTTCACTACAGAAAAATGTGTAATGCAGAGATGAAAAAAAAAACATCTGTAATCCCATCACTCATAATCAAATATTCTAATATATATCTTTTCAGTCATTTTTCCTTTATATGTGCTGGGATTTTTTTTATTTTATTTTTATTAAAATAAATCTTTAATGTTTGTTTATTTTTGAAGAGACAGAGCATGAGAGGGGGAGGGGCAGAGAGAGAGGGAGACACAGAATCTAAAGCAGGCTCCAGGCTCTGAGCTGTCAGCACAGAGCCTGACACAGAGCTCAAACTCA